TTAAATAATTAAATAAATAAATAAATAAATAAAATAAGAGAAGAAACTCATGGTCCCAAAGCCGTTTCCTGAAGTCTAAAAAGTAACGCGCTCACACAAAAGAGAATGCAGGTGGGGGGGAGTGAGAATTTTCAGGTTTTATTGGCAACCCTTTTGCATATTCACCATTACCCATTACCCATGCAAGTTCAGATGTAAAACCGGCCGGCGATGAACATATTTTAATGAACACACTTTACTAGGATATTGTATTAAGAAACATGAATTTTATTTTTTTATTTATTCAATTTGAATCCCGCTCCCCTTAGCGCCAAATCACTAGTCTCGGTGGGCTACAGCTCGTAAAACAGAAATAAAAGCAGAAAACATTAAAAACCAGTTGCAATACCTCTTATAAACAACAACAACCAGGCGGGACTCCTCTTCTGTGGGTTCAGTGATTTCCACGGCAAGAAAAGAGCACCCACTCCCGTAATCCATCGTTCGCACGCCAGGCAGCTCTTTTGGAAGATCCCTTAATTTAAGACTCAAAGGGGTGGCGGTGAGGACACAGGAGAATTACAGTTGGCCATCGCCTTTCGGGGCTCCTGTGAACCAGGTGAACGCCCTTAGAAATTCAAGCCGTCCTCTGCTGCACGCTGCCAAGAAGGTTTCCGAGAAGAGGATGGTGGAGAAGAACATTCTTGTCCTCTAAAACCTAGAGGCAGTTGTGAGACCAACTTGCTCTTGCAGAGTATGGCTAGTAGTGGGATCCTGGGGGAAGCCATGAATCCAGCAAGCACAAAGAAGAGAACAGACCTTCTCAAGAACCCAGAGGTTTTGACTTGGGCTCTTCCTCCTAATTATTCTACATTATCTCTGGTGGAGCCAGAGGCACTGAGATTGGGTCCTTTTCTGTTTTATTGGAGGAAAAAAGAAAGAAAGGGAGATGTGGGGCTTCTTGATATGCTACGTTATTCTTCTGTTTGCAGCTTTTGCAGCAATGCACCTTCCTTCCAATGCCACTTATGAAGCAGGAAGAGGAGGAGGAGGGGGAGAGGGAGGGGCCGCTGGCAGGTTCATGGTCTGAGTGGGCGTGCGGGCCATCCTCACATCCACAACAGCAGTGCCCACCTCCCTTGCTGCTGGTGGTCCCAGTCCTGGCAGCCCCCTGCCCTGTCTACCATTTAGATAGGAACATAGATGCTGCTACCATGTGTTAAATCATTTACATGAGCCACAGCGTATTTGAATTTGCTCCTTACAACTCCAGCTGTGTGGGGGGAAAAACCCGAGGAGAGCATTACCCATTCTTAACAATCTGTTGCCCTGCAGTCAAAGAATCAGTGAGACAAGGGTACAACAGACTTAGAAAATTTGCTGGATTAGAATAAATCTCCACGTAGTGCACTTAAAGTTAGTGGAAGTGTCATAATAATAATTTTAAAAAGACTATTTAAAAAAGTGAGTGGAAGTGTCAAGTCACATGAGCAACATATCAGCACCCAGACAGGAAGGGCATTCCTGGAGTCCTCCAAGTAAACTCTATCAAGTCAGCTTCAAATAGCTTAGCAACCTCTAGAAAATATTTACTCTTACTACACTTATGAAAAGAAAAATAAACTGAAAAATAGTTCCTTAGCTGTACTCCTGGAAGCAGATCTCTGAAGTATGCTTTTATCTACAAGACATAACCATATTGACTCTGGTTTGCTGTTCATTATTAAGTCCAACACATATACTGTCCTAAAAATCAGCAGCTAAGAAAAATTATTGCAGATGAGAAAATTAGGAGGAAACTTTTTGTAAATGAAGACTCCAAAGTAACCTCTCTTCCTATTTTGTTCTGACGAAAGCACCCATCTGTTTGGTGTGAACATCTCTAAGTTGCTCCAGCTGTCGTTGTCCACGGCGGATTAGGTATTCAATGAACATGATGTCTGTACGGGAGATCTGGGCATTCCTCCTGAACTCGGCCTGTATTTGAGGCAGGAAACCTGGCTTATTCTTGCTGGCCCGAAGGAAATTTCGGTACAAGCTGAGCACCTGTTTCTGGAGATTGCTGTGCCGGGCCATGGAACGCTTTCAACCTTCTCTGCTGACCAGCATGGATGGCAACTGCCAAGTAGTGTTTGGAGATAAAAAGAAGTTGCATCAGAATAGGGGAGAGGGGGTTAAATTGCAAACTTCTGGCAAACATTATCCTGCAATCTAATCAAACACATTTTAAATAAATAATCATATGAACTTTGGTTGATTAACTGATACATTTAAACCAGCGTATACTGTAAATAGTAGCAGTGTTTCTGAAGAAATAAGTACAGTATACTTTATTTTTAATGATGCAGAGACATAAGAGAAAAGAGGCATTTCCTTCTATGTGTGCAAAAGAAGAGAAAGGGATGTCTCTTTTTAAAGGAGGTGCTGCCCCATCAGCAGCATTTAGTTAATCTTGGAGACTCACCAGTTCAAATCTGTTTCCTAGTTAACTACGGGGCTGCAGATATTTGTAGTCAATTATCACCAGTTTCAGAGTACATTAATTTAACAAGTGGCTTAAATACTGCACCCATTATAAACAGATTTTTGGCTCACTGTGCAATACAGAGGATAAAATGTATCTGGAATATTTGCTATCACAGTGACTAGATCCTCCTTGCTATTTCCACTTCCTCAAAGCCACGACTTCATCAATTATTAGACCAAGCCATACCGGCCGAGGCCCTCCGCCAGGTTCGGGCGCCTTCGGCCACCAAGGGCGGTCCAGTGGTGGCCAAAGGGCTTCTTTCCCCGTGGCCGGATCCGGAACGGCCAAAGCTCTCGCTCTCGCTCTC